GCGCGCACCAAAATTTACGATCGGAACAGTCGTCAAATCGCTTCGTGCATATCTCAAGAAGCACGTTGCGGATGATTGGCTTGGCGACAGTGAAAACAGCGAAGCGGAATCGCAATAAAGGGCCAATTCACTCACATGGCCGATTTGATTTTCAGGCCTTTCCAAACTAGCGTCAACTACCCACAATATTAGACCAGGTCAACACGTCCATATTACTTACTTTGCAAGCTTGGATAGGCTCAGTTTGTCGATTTAGCAAAAAGCTGGAGAGCTTTCGCTTGCACCATATAAATAGGATATAACGACATATAATCCCGATTCCTCCAGCTTCGGCTGGAGAAATTTTCTTACAGTAGCAAACAATTAAAAAGTACCGATTGTCGGGCTTTTATTCACCATAAGATGCTGATCTCATCCAGGCAATCGTCGAAGTCCTCCATGCTGGACGGGTCAGTCTCTTTTGAGTCTTTTTGTCTCCCAAGACGCAATAAATTTCACTACGTAGACATCGTGGAGGGCAATATGCCAGCTTGATATTTGTTGTTGAAGTCTGCAGCAGCGGTAGAGTCGAAAACGACGGACCCAGCTACGAACAACTTTTCACTTAAGGGATCGGACTATTATCAAAAAGGCTTGATTACTTTCCTTTCACGCGGTGGTCTCAGCATTCAGAATGTCCTTGAGACCTCTGTAGATTGCGACATCACCAGCCTCGACTTTGATCACTGTCAGATGTCTCAAAAAACGGGTGTTGAGTTCGCCAGAAACAACACATATTTTGATCTTACGCGTCTGACACCTGTCCTTGAAGTTGTGTGCTACTATCGAGTCCTGAACGAGATAGTGTCTCTCACTGTCACTATTGTATGCTGAATCGCTTTGTGTTATCAATACTGCTGCTAGATTTTTCAGCTCGTACCTACACTAAGCTTTGGTGCCATTTTTACTTCTGCTATTGCAAGATGTGTCATCGAACTGCAAACTAGACGACATCAGTTACGTCGAAATGGAAATCGGAGATCAATTCACCGCTTCAACACACGCGCTGTCAGCCCACATTTGCGGCTGATTGGTGATTAAACACCATCAATCTTCTGAAAACGATCCGGCCGGCTTACAGATGGAATCGGGAATTCGTATACTCCCACTCGCCGTTACGGCAACAATGAAAGTATTGCTCATCGACACAAATCCCGTCAGCCAAATTACATGCCATGCTCCGCTGAAATCGACGGTCATGACTCTCGCGTCTTCAAATTTGACTACTGACTTTTCCATGAGAAGGTCTTTTCGCAGTTCATGCTGAGGTTTGCACCAGCAAGCACCGTGTGTGGGAGATCGCTTGTGCAACGAGATTGGTCGTCCGTGAGAATAGTGAGATTAGTCCTACGGCGGAGCCAGGAACAAAATTGGTCAATGAAGCAAGCGAGTCGATGTGTTGATGCCGTAAATGGCTTTGGGCTCTCCTTCGTCATGTACAGCGACGTGCAGATGGCTTGAGTCATGTCGACAATCCAGACACGGGTGATTTTTTCGCTGCGAAGTCTTTTCGAAACGAACTCGTCGAGGAGTATGGTCATAATATTGAGGGAAACAGGCTTGCGCCAATCACCACCGAGGCACCTCTGGTGTGGTTTTGCAGCCAGAATCTCGTCATTCTTACGCAAACACTTCTGAATGGGTGCCCCATCCACGTGAAGTATCATCTTCTGAAAGTGGACCACCCCTCGCGATGTTGCGTTGCCCGCCACTTCCTAGATCCGCTTGATCGCTCCTCGTTTAGCGCTGAGTTCGATTAGGTTTTGGCATGCCATCGTCGAGATTGCCTCGTGAGAACAAGGGATATTGTCTATTACCTGAAATATAAGCCGGTCTTATAGTGACTGTTTAAGACATCGACTGTACTCAAATCTTTTATTCGGCCAGCTCCGTTATATATATTACGAGTACGAAACCATTTCGTAATCTGAAACCGCATCTGCTGATACTTGCGCTAGCACAGGAGCTGGTGTTAACAGTTGAGGTATTGTGGCTTTTCCGTTGCATATTCGATTAGTCGGCATTGGACGCACGAGAATTCTCAGACGCAGCAGAATGATTGCAGTGGTGAGATTTGCTGCGTTGTCTTCAATTGTGTTCGATCAGGATCACAAATATTATCTACAATGACATGAATGACCAGCGCATGCTGACAATTACAGATTCATTTCATACTGATCTGGGATTCTTGCCGTCTCCCTGCATCCTCAAATGTATTGGCGTGTATTGGTCACTTGTGATGATGAAAATGTTGATAGTCAGAGGTGTACTTCGATGGCGAAAACTGATGACATGGTGACGATGAAGAGGAACTTTGCGCAGAAATATTTTTGACGCGGAATGTCTGCGTTCAGAAATGCAGACAATCAAAAAGCGATTTACTCAAATGTAATTGTCAGTCAATATATACGTTAACTTTTTACGACAAACTTACTCCCTAATTAATGTATCGCGTAAGGCATATGTTCTTGTGTCTTTCCTTTCTTCAATACAAGTCTATCAATTCTCAATTTATGGCGGTCGGTGAATTTCCCAAAGCAAAAATGAAGATATCAAGCCAATACTTGGCACTCACCATCAAGGAAATCTATGTCGCAACATAAGGAATAATTCAGAATATCGACAGTGCAACAGTATTTTCATTAGAGCATGTTATTTAGTAATTTACCTCTTTAAATTGGGTTCTCGTGTGGTCAACACAATGCGATAGAACAACAGTTTTGATCAGATTTCGAAGTAGGCGTCAGAAAGCCAGCCCACCTGTAACACCTTATACCCGCTCATTTAGCCGGCGGATATGTGGCCGTCTTCGAAAGATTAATAAATACCCATCGAATTGGAAAACTCCCATGCCACTCTTCCATTCGTCATTCCGAGCGCTCTTCTATCTTTTACAATGAAGCGGCTAATGGTGCTTACGTCAGCAGTAGTACTACTCGCACTGCCAGCTCTTGTATTAGGCTCAGCCGTCAATCCTAAGGAAAAAGGCGAGCCGCTTTTTCCTGAAAATCATCCAAACATCACGTTCCTGACGGACAAGAATTGGGATCAACACCTGAATAAAACAGACAAACCATGGATCGTCGACTTCTACCATCCTTTGTACGTTCTGAAGATCATTAATTGGTTCTTTATACTTAAATCAGCAATGCAATGCACTTAGCACTGACGGACTAATGATCTATGACACAGTTGCCCACACTGCAAGCAATTTGCACCCTTGTACTTCGATCTCGCTGCGTATTACAAAGAAAAGGGAACGCTGTATGTTGGAGCTATCAGCTGCATGGATCACGTCAAGTGTCGTCGTGTTGGAATCACAGGATTTCCAACATTGATGACGCTTAATTTTGATAAGAGAAATCCAAAGATGGAAAACAAGCGAATTATCGGTACTCATACCATTCAGGAGGTAAAAGATTACGTCGATAGCGTGATCGCCGAGGTGACATTTAACACAACTGGTGTTTGGCCACCCGGGTACAAGTCGAAAGAAGCAAAGGAAAAGGAAGAAGCAGAGAAAAAGGCTGAAAAGGAGAAGAACGCTGGTAATAGCACTGATGCATCTAAGGGACAAGACGATATTGTATTCCCAAATGTCACGGAACCAGCAATTTGGGAAGAGTCGACGCTTCCAATGAATCAGACGACACGTATCCAAGACGCAGCGTCGGCTTTTGTCTTCGGGCTGAAGCAAGGCGTATTCATGGCTGGTGATGTAATGGAAGGCGACGAGTTTGATGCGCTAAAAAACTGGCTGAAGGTGGTTTCAGAGACTTTTCCCGGTGCAATCAATCGTAAGATCATTCGGCCTTTGTACGAGAAAGTAAAGGAAAAGGAGTTACTAGACTTTGACACGTGGGATTCTACTGTAAAGCAATGGCAAGAGGGCTCGGTTGCAGCATTTAAATCTGAAGAAGCAAGCTATAATTTTACCAACATCAGCGTTCCAGAGTGGCAGCGACTGAACAATCTATTTCTGGGCCAGGGAGCCACGTATCAAGCATGTGCCTCATACACGTGTGGTCAGTGGACCATGTTCCATATGTTGACATTAAACCCACCCGAGACGGGGACACGCAGCGCTGATCTAATGGTGTCTGTCGTTGCGTCTATTCGTCGATTTATGAAGCATTTTTTCGGTTGCGCTGACTGTCGGGACCACTTTTTAAAAGAAAATACGATTGAAGCCGTCAAGAAAATTCAAGATGCTGAAGACAAGCCACTGGTTTTGCGTCGCTGGCTATGGGAACAGCATAATTCGGTAAACAAACGTCTGCATCATCCCATATGGCCAAAACCTGAAATTTGTCCAACATGTGGCACGGAAGCTGCGTGGGAACTCGTGGAAGTAGACAAGTGGCTTAGACGGACGTTTGCCTACTATGACGTGGCTCTACCTCTTAAGAAAGTACCGGTATCTATACCGGCAGCAACAGCTGCGGCTTTGCGTAAGGAGACGGATGCTACTATAACCGCTGCGGAAGCTCCGAAAGCTTTTGATGAAGAAAAGAAAAAATCGGCGACGATTGCGGCGGAGCCAAAGGGAGGGGACGACTACACTCCGAAGGATGCCGAGCTTGGCATTAAGAACGCTGCAAACTCTCTCGATCTAGTTGCTAATACGAAAGCGGAACCTCACGATGGATTGCAAGGAGTAAGTGCTCCTCCTGTCACGTTGTTCGCATGGTACATTCTCCCAGTTGCAGCCGTGGGTGGTTACCTATTGTTTGCGCGCTCGCGCTCGAAGCCGAAGGCGTACCGCCAGATCCCACGGAATTAATCATTTGTGTAACAATCAATGACAATTTGGTCCAGTATATACATTCGTTAAGAAGTTTGATGGTATGTTTTTACCGGTATAAATTGTCCTATCTATCACTTTATGCTGACATTTTCAAGCGTTCAATGCCTGAGATTTCAACCCCAAAGCCGTGTGGATCAGAATTCACATCTTTAGATATAAGTAGTTGTACTGATTCCACGTTAAGGTCGCGAAGAATTTGCATTGCCATGCCAAAAATGCTCTGACGGGCCATGAGTTCACCACTTATCTGCAAGAGTTTAGTCGAGCCTTGAATATAAATCAAGACACCAAAATCATGAGAAGCGATACATTTCTGTGCCCATGACGCCTGTAAGCTTGCTTCAAAGCCATCTTCCACAAGAAAGACGGGCACACATTTCTTGCCATCCACCTCACCGTATACAAGTGCATGATACATCTGATCTGGCTGGATAAGGGATATGTATTCCATAGAAAAAAACTCACCAAGTGGAGTTACTACCTTTGACTGCACTTTTGTACGCTGCACAAGTTTTTCAGTCCGGCAGCGATAGCGAATCAGATCTGAAATTGTGATAAGTGGCACTTCAAACTTCTGAGAAAACTCTTGTAATTGAGGGCGACGCAACATTCGTCCATTTTCGTCGGTCATTTCACAAATATAACCTACAGGCTTGACGCCAGCCAAGCGCGCGAGGTCCGTAGCCGCCTCTGTGTGACCAGCCCGCAACAAAACGCCTCCGTTTTGAGCCAGCAGTGGAAATATGTGACCAGGACGGTTGAACGCCGTGGGTCCCACGTCTGGATCAGCTAATGCACGAATTGTCCGCGCTCTATCCGCCGCTGAGACGCCCGTTGAGTTGCCCTCCTTTAAATCTACAGTCACTGTGAATTTGCACTTGTGTACTTCAGTATTGTTTTCCACCATTAAAGGTAATTGCAACTCATTGATGCGATCTCTGAGTGCAGGAACGCACACGATGCCCGTCGAGTGGCGCAACATAAAAGCGACGCGCTCCTCGGTCGCGTACTCGGCAGCAGCAATGAGATCACCCTCATTCTCGCGATCCTCATTGTCCATAACAATTACAAACCCACCGCTTCGGATTGTTTCCAGTGCCTCATCAATAGTTGAAGTGCCAGTATTCTCGGCGCAGCAGACACCGTTCGATTTCATGATGCAGGATGACAACTGATTTGGCCGCCGTTGCATTGACGATGGACGTTACAATTTGCAATTTTGATGGGTAAGTTGACAGGCGAGTTAAACTCTAAATATCATGTAGTGAAAGTATTGTGTCTAGTACACAATTTCATAAATCAACATAAAGTCGTCCCTCGGATAACTCATATCCGGGTAGCTCATAACCCTGTATACCTAATAAACGTTTGCTTAGCCAAGTACTAACTTATAACTGGTTGGATAATAATGTTGACCAAGTCATAGATATGTTTTTCACCGCATTTAACAGTTATCTCTTGTAAACTGTAAATACGATTGTGCCAAACTGAGAATGATGGCTCCTTGAATCATGATGTCAATGGGACACGTAGGCTGCTAGCTTCGCGTTATGCAGCAAATAGGATTTAATCATTGAAGTATATAGAGCGAACTTGGTAGCAATTTGAGGTGACCTCAGTTTCGCTACCGAATGAAGCGTACATCTGTGTGATAGTTACAGCGGACTTGTACAGTCAAAAGTTCTACAGTCTGATGTGCATGATAATCCCATTAAACTTGGTAGCACATTTCGTCAATTCGATGACCACGTCTTAGTAAGGTTGCATACTTTGAAACATGATATATCCATCAGACAACCGAAAACGCTCGGTACGCTTACGTCTTTGGTTTGTTTCAATTGATAGCACAACTGGCGGCCTATGGGCTCATAGTGGTTTACACAGAGGTATTCACCCGCAATTTAAAAATGATGAAATACCACTAGCAGTACCTCTTCAGGCGCCATGAAAGCACATCAATTAGCTACAGTGTGATCTTTTATGATCCGTTTGATCTTTACAAGAGCGATTAGAATGGCCTTGGATCAGTTGTTATCCAGATGGAGTATCAGTGCCTCGTGCTTGCCCGAGTGATATTTTAAACTTCAATAAACTTCGGGTAGATCGTTTTTCTCGAGCCTTTCTTGTCAAAGGTGCGATCCGCAGGGATATCACCCATCATTGGCAGCGAATAATACCCACTAATTATACCAAGAGCATAAAGGAGGTACATACAACCATGCTGTCGGAGTTGTAATGCTGTTGTGATTATATCTAGAATTCAGCATTTGCCCCGGTTTTGAATTATATTAAGGTGAATAAAAGCACACTACTCGCCACTTGACGTAAGCCTTTCCTATACAAAATGAAAAAAGTATCACCAAACCCACTTCGTGTTGCGCACGGAGAATAATTTCAAGATCCCTTGGTAAAAAGCCGTAGGAGTGCGATAAATATTTTGGTTTTAGTAGCCAAACTAATTTCTTCACGACCCGGCATCATATCAAGTGGGTATTGTGTCGCCACGATGTGATATTCCCTCACCAAAAATAAATAGAATCCAGAATATGTGAGGATAGCTTTTCTACTCTTTGAACTCGGTGATCTGCGATTGTGTTGTTTATTGGGCTCATCCTTGAAAAGATCAGCACATCCTATTTTCTCTATGTTGGTGATTGTCCCAAATTACAATTTTTGCGCGTATTCCCAAAGGAATAAGCGTTAAGCTTAATAAAGATTCAGCCTGGGTACTTTAAACCTCCAGGAATACCCCGGTATATCCGAAAGCATTTTTTTCGGTAAGAATCAATATCTCCGCATGGTGGGCGCGTCGCGGAAGCGCTGACTAATTGAAACTGTCGAATCACAACAAGAACGAACATCGCAAAATAATCAGGGGATGGTCTTTCAAGTTGCGACTTACCGTTGCCTGGTAAGACCGGCTCTGACACAGGAGACATTAGCTTACAGCTGCTACTAAAGCTTACCACTACCGTTCTTCGGTCATCCTAACGTAGCATATATACATTCGTAGGCCCAAATTTTTCTGTCCCATCCTGAGACCGCGACTCACTACCGCTTCTGCCTTTCGATCTTTATTTAAAATACTTACCAACATCGCAGCTCATCAGTTCGAACTATGCCAAGTCCTGTACCGAAGACTCCACAGATATATGTCTGCATTTACACAAGTTTCTTCCAGCTGAGGCTTGCTAACGATTTACTAGAGCTCCACAATAAGGGAAATGCGTTGTACCTATTTCTCCAACTTTCAGGCTACTTATGGCCAATGGCGCTCCGGTCAGGCCACACCCAGAATGAGATCGTGACTTAAATCCTGGTTCAAGATCCAAAACGTTTCTATATCCAAAGTTTACAGAGAGCTCTGAAAAATCTTTAACGATGCAGAACGCATGATCACTGTATCTTTATTTGAGATATTCAATGCGTTCCCGTACTGTCTACTGCTTTCCACAGTCATGCATACGTCAATGGAAGACGCTCTTAAATTCATAAGAACATTTTTGCGCATCGAAGTGCAAGACCGTTATGTATAACCAACAACCCTGGGCTGTGTACTATCGTTTTCGGTCTCTTCGAGTAGCGATAAAATTTGGGGTTTCTCAGCAGGCTGACTGTGCTTTTTGGGACTGAACATTTCTACCAACCTTACGCGAGAGCTTGACCGTTCATACCACTCTGCCATGAAAGGAGGGAGCACGCAGGGCGCAGATGCTCGATACTACCGAAGATGTAACATGTGCGAGTACCACGGCTTTGCTCAGCAGCTAGAAATCACCACTTTGTCGCAGCATAGCTGTGGTCCATCGATTCTGTCGCGCTTTAAGACTTCCATTTTCCGTGCAATTAACCCTCGCGTAACAAAACTGGCAATTTGCGGATAATACATTACCCTCGAAAAGAGGTTGGTAGATGTAGAATTCTCGATAGGAACCTGCCTTTCTATGACGATTGATTCAGTTACGACGTTCGGGATGCTTGTTCGCGGCGAAGGGAATCTGATCATAATTTCTTAATCTCGCCTCCCTTCATGGGTAGATTAGCATACACGATAAGGCGGTGCAAACATCCGCGACGTCTGCTGCCGAACGACTAACCATTGAGGAATGCTTTAAATACAGATCTATTGTACGCAACTGCTGATCCTTGCCAGCGGCCTTCAATTACGGAACTCGCACGCGCAACTCCTTTTACAACATGGTTGGATTAAATTCATCTCGATTTGTCTTGTAGTAATAGAAGGCTTTTTTGTTCCGACCCCTGAAGGGCTGACTGCTAAGCGTGCTTCCACGACGCTTATTAAAGGCGTCCCAATCTTTGTCTCATCAGTGCACTCACATAGTATGTGAACGCCTTCACGCGACCAATGACCGCTACCTACCCAAAATGCATTATTCCTTCAGTGTCATTCTGATGATATTTACCTTTCATCCTTGTCTGATTATCGTGAAAAGAGATAATCAAACAGCTTGGGCTCTATTTTTAAGGAAGACATTCTCGTTGAGACTCAGTTGTCGTATTGACAACGGGGTTGCCGTGCACCTCGTGCAAAGGAAGCTTTAACTCAATAAGTCCACGATAGCAAACACATGAAAGATGAGGTGTACGCTCCACCCAGGAGGGAAATCAAAAGTCTCTCTCAGAGCAAGCTTGAATTTGTGCTTTTTATCGAACCTTTGTTGAACCTACTAAAGGCAAAACTACAAAATTACGGACTTCGCAGTGAGAGTACGGTGATCAGCTTTGCCGATGACTGCACCGGACTTCTTTCTGACCTCAAACACACCAATTTTTTTTTAAACCAAGTGGAAGACTTCTGTGTGGCTTCAGAAATGCGACTCAACAAGGACAAAACGGTAATACGTTCCTTACACCCCTGGTCGACTGAGAACGAACCTTTGCGCCAGTCCTTAACCAAGCTGGGAGTGATTGTGGTTGGAAACATTAGGCGCGCTAAGCTGTTGAGCATACTTTACGGCCCGACCCATAGTGATGCGGATCGACTTCAACATTAAATCATGGAAATGAAAATCAAGTGTTCACTTTGGCTATACCGGGCTCGTACACTGCGTGGACAAGTGGTGATACTTTAGCAAATCATCCTACCAACGCTATGGTATTCGGCTAGCGTCTGTCACGTCCCCTCAACTGGATTCCAGGACCAGTTTATAAAGCTCATTTTGCGCTTTTTTTGCCGGTTCAAGACCTCCAGTGCTTTGCCCAAGACTTGGTGGTTTATTCCTCCGCATAAAGGTGGCTTGGATCTCGCTTCAATCCCAGATATGACCTTCAGCTGCACATGCGCTGCAAGGTAATCTTGGCTGGAGAGACCCCCCAGGAAAGAACATTCCCTCGTGGGCAGCCCCAGTTATTCATTCGACCAATCTGTAGCCCCTTGGGTTA